ACATTTTACTCAATATAACTATTAGTGTACATGCCTTAGTGCCCACAACATCAAATTAACAAAATTTCATATTCATAATGAAAATAGATCATATAACACATTCAATCATGCTTTTCACCCCAAAACGTAATAAATACTTTGAAAGAGGGGCTGTGAATATTCATACTTTTGCAAAACTCTGCTAAACAAAAACACGATCTGGTCCCCACACGTTGGCTTAACGTTTCCCTATCAAAGAGAAATATCCAAAACCGTCACTTTAAACAACCATAACTCTCTAAATAATCATCCAAATCATTGATTTTTTCTTCTGGAAGTTGAAACTTTCGTTTTGGTTGTTTTGAGTATTTCAGTAGGTAAACCCTACTTTAAACAACCATAACTCTCTAAATAATCATCCAAATCATTGATTTTTCTTCTGGAAGTTAATTTAATGAGTTACCTTTCAAATGCCACTGATTTCATTTAAAAATATGGTGATTTGAGGTTTCAACTACTCAAAACGAAATAAGTATGCAATCTGTCCAAAACTGAGAGATTTGTATATGCATGTTCTAATGACCATATCTCTTTCAAAACTCAATGAAAAAGGATGATTCTTCCCTTGAGAGTTAACTATATGAGTTATCTTCTGCATGCAAGTGGAATCACATGAAAATATGGAGTTTTGACCTCCAAACACCTAAAACACTTTAGGTGTGCAAACTGTGAAACCATCAGTAGGTAGATCCTACTTTGCGTGTTAATATCTCTTTTATTACTTGCTCTTAGTACAGGATTCTTCTTCTGAAATATTCTTTTATGAGTTAGGGTTGAAGTTTTGATGCATTAACCAATTTATTAAAGTTAAGTGTGCAATCTTTCAACTAACGACAAATGTGTGCATGTAACTTTATGGTGTCATGTCTTCCTCTTAACTCATCCAAAATGAGTGATTCTTATCTTAAAAGTTTCATTTAGGTGTTGAGTTTATAATCCAACTGTAATTTCTGCAAAACACTTAGTAGAACTCTTCAAATGAGTATTTTACTAACATGGTGTAATCTGCCATATCAATTGTGACATATTGTATTGCATAAATTATTTGAACCATTTTTTACACGTCCAAAATGCATGAAATTTGGTCACAATGACCATAACTCAGTACTATATCCCATATAAAAAGATAGGAAACTATGTCATTTTAGAAGTCTCTATAAATTGATCATTTTTAGTACTATTAGTTTTTGTCCAAAAGTGAAATTCTGGAAATATTTGATTTTATAAATTTTGATCATTTAATGGATTATAACATTACTTCTGGTATAAATTACTATATTAACGAGCATATGTGCATTATGTATAATTGGACTATAGATAATCAAGTTGGACATATGTAGACAATTATAGACTTATGACTTATTAATCCCCATAAGTAGTTTTAAACCCATAAGTGACGGTTTTGGATATTTCTCTTTGATAGGGAAACGTTAAGCCAACGTGTGGGGACCGGATCGTGTTTTTGTTTAGCAGAGCTTTGCAGAAGTGTGAGTATTCACAGCTCCTCTTTCAAAGTATTTATTACGTTTTGGGGTGAAAAGCATGATTGAATGTGTTATATGAGCTATTTTCATTATGAATATGAAATTTTGTTAATTTGATGTTGTGGGCACTAAGGCATGTACACTAATAGTTATATTGAGTAAAATGTAACAGAAAAGTTTGTATACTACTATTAACTCAAGTGAGGAGCCGAGGGTATTTGTGAATAGCGTTATTTGGATGGACAATCCCACCTAAAAACCGATAAGTAGGGGTGTGGATAGCAATCCCACCTAAAAACTACAGGAAAGGGTGCACTATACTTAAAAACAAAGGTTCTACATATGTGGGGTATTAGTCCCACCGCTAAGATAGAATTAAAAACAGTTTCATGGGGTCGAAAGGTTTAGTGGTGGCTCTTTATATACTTAAAATTAGAGTACAAATTGCCTTGAGCAATCCAAGGTTTTCTTTCAAAGTAAATCAAGTGCCATTAAAAATTTAATTCGCTCAAATTCGCTTATGCTAAAGGAGGTTTGTAATATTGAAAACCTGTTAACTCACCAGCTCTTTGTAGTTGATCTTGTTTTATTATGCTTTTCAAGGGTAAGAAAGGTTAACTGATAACGTTTATGTTCGGCGTGCAACGACATCAACCATATTTATATTTAAAATCTTTTTGTTGAAAACTTTGCTTACACCATGTTGTTAAAAACTTTGAACTAGTATGATGTAATTTCGGACTATATATGTTATGTATTTGAATGGACAATTGGTGTTGTTTTCGCCCTATTGCTGTGAAATCTTGAACTATCACTCCTCGTGTTTCCGCTTTAGCGGGGTGTGACACTTGGTGAGTTAATAAGTCGCAACCACATTTATTATGTGTTTTTTAGATATTACATTTAACACACAACTACCAATTGCAGTTATTCTT